TATTTTTTTCTTTTGTTTATTTAATGTTGATATATTTTTTATAAAAATCCAGCTCTTTACCTAACCAGCTCCACATAAATCCACATTTCAAACTTATGAAAATTCAACAAACTGTAACATTTGCACCCGAAAATTTTAGATTTTTTATTCAGAGTTTTTAGAAAAAGTTTAGGTATGCTCGACAATTTCGTTTGTTTAAGAGAAAATGCCTAGCACCATCAGCAAAAAGGAAAATATTGAAAATCAACGCGTTTTTCTAGCGTCTTGAAATATGCATTTTAACCTACTAAAATTTAATGAGCATACCTAAAAATTTTCTAAAAATTCAGAATAAAAAGTTTAAAATGTTCGGGTGCAAATATTAAAATTCGTCGAATTTTCATAATTTTTTTACGAAGTTTGAAATGTGGGTTTATGTGGCGCTGGTTCGGTAAGGTGCAAAACTTTTATAAAAAAAAAATACAAACATTAAATAAACAAAAGAAAAATAGGTAAACTAGTCAAAATATCACTGGACTTAATCAGCTGACCACAAGTGTATATACAGTGGCGGGCAAGCAAATAGGGGGACGTAATTTTAACAAGTTTCTTTCTAATTTTCTTTCGTATACCTTTTTTTCATTAAACNCTTGCGCAATTTTTCCATAAAAAATCCATGTTTTGAGCATACTGTGTATGAATCGGTTCATTGCCAAAGGGAATAAGTCAGCATTTTTCCGATATGGCAACTTTGATGCAGTTCCACAAAGCTCCTTAACTCCATCAAAATGGTCATATATAAAGAAACCAATTCATATTGAAGATAATGTACAACACCGTCAGCTAAAAAAACTATTAAAAATCAACGGTATTTGTAGCCACTGGAAATTTTTACTATTTACACACTAGAATTTAATGGGCTGTAAAACTGCATACCTAAAATTTCTGAATAAAAAGTTTGAAATTTAAGTGAACATTTTTTGAATTTTCATTATTTTTTGTAAAAGGCTTGAGGTGCGTATTTATATGCAGTTTATTATATAATGAGATAGACTTATAAAAAAAAAACTAAACTAAAAAGCCATCTCCAAAATTTTTAAAATACATTTTAATTTACATCAGAGTGAGTTCTAATACCATGTAGAATAGCACCGCTATCTTAAAACTTTTCTTATCAAGATCTGGAAATCAAGTTGAACTTTAACAATGTTTTTGGGAATCGCTTTCGTCAATTTTTTTTTATTAAATGCAATTTTGATTCGGTAATTAAAAACGCTTCAACTACTTCCAGTTTTTACTATTTTATAAAATTTTTCAACTCTTTGTTTTCTTTTTCCAGAGTATCGAATTTCGTCTGCGCAAAATGGAAGAATCTTCGGAGCAAATACTTTCGCACTTGGCGGTCATACATCGTTTCATGTCGATGCATATGCTTGATGGAGGCGATTTGCACGCATCGAATATGAATCTCGGCGGAGATTTACAGCGTGTACGCACCGTGTCGATGTCTGATAATGAGACACTGATGCCAACACCGAATTTACAGGTGGGTATACCATAATAAATTGAAGAAATCAATATATGTATTTTCTTTGTCAACACACTACTTTTTGCGTTTAAAATGCTGAATTTAATTGCTACTACAAATGCAACTACAATAATGTTTAAAATAATTTGCGTTTCTTAATATTTACATAATTTTCTTTGCCTCTCACCCAATTCCTACATAAAGGTCAACAACCGTCGTCGCTTTAATCGTTCGCTCACAGAAGTGCGCCCGGATGCGTACATTTTCGATGAAGGCACCCATTTCGAGGTGGTGCCAGTACCTGAAGAGCCAGACGATCTGCCGCTGAGCGAGCATGTGAGCCGCAAAATATCCATGCAATCCGAATCTGACTCGGACATTTACCTACCGATGTCACAACGCCCGTCCACATGTGAGACTGTAAAGCGTACGCCATACGTCACAGTGCGGCAGGACACTGGCGCCAGCACTGAGAGCAAAGATACTTTAACACCACTGGGTGCCGATGATGAACACACGCTGGTCGGAGAGAATTCGGATGAGACTGGTCAGGATTTAAATTTCGAAGGTAAATACCTTATTAAACATCTAAACACCGGCATGTCGTTCCAACATACGGTGCGTAGGCCACGTAAATGACATCCAACAGCGCATCAAGCACCAGTCAAAAAATCAACTAATCACATACTCCCACCAACCAATCAATCGACAAAGAAAAAACAAACATTGAACAACCTGTAGTTGGCGTTGGTTGAAAATACAAAAAAAAAAAAAAACATACAAAAATATAACACACTATATTGCAGTTGTTGTCCACTGCAAAATGCAAATCAACAGAGGTAAACACTAATTGTTTATGTTGTTGCTTTTTCTTCTTCTTTTTTGTTTGTTCGATATCACAAAAAAAAAAATAAATACCGCTTAGCTGCCAAGCGTCGTGCACTGCGCCAACGCACCGTATCGCTGTGTCGTCGCAACTCTGAAGCGTGCTCCATCATAGCTGCCGATATTAACCGCTCACGCATAAGTCTGAATCAGTTGCCGTTGTCACGCCGGCAAATGAGTCTTACACAATCTGAGCCAGATAGTGACAAGGAGGCGATTGGAGGGGGTGCGTACATACAAATTCATACACATACACTTAGAATCATATGAAAGACAAAAAAAAGTGGTTTAAAAATATTCATGCTTCGCCAACCTTAATCCACTAATACCATTATGTTCCATCCCACCCCCACCACTATCTGCATCCCACCTGCACCCATCCTCCATATCAGCATTCCGCCACAGCACAGATCGGCACCGAAAGCTGCTTGTGTAGCAACAATGCAATTTAAATTGAATGTTGTGGCATGCTGTTAGCCTAGCAAGAAAATATAATTAAATTTTCACCTCCATATCCTAACAATTTCCCATACACAACCAGCTAATGCTCCTCACACATTGCCAATGTCATTTCCAATATTGCTATTTCACTCGACAACAGACACTTGCTCACCTATTTGGGGTGCGTGTATGTGTGTGTATTATGTCGTAACCAATCTTATCCTATTATACACTATATTTTCCTATTCCTTCCCATCAATAACAACCATTGCTCATCCAAAGATTAGTACAAACCGTCATTATCGATGCAAAGGTTCCATCTGACAAATTTTATTATACAGTGTCAGAAGTTAATAAATCTTGATGTTTTTGAATTTTCTAAATTAAAAAAAAAAACCGAATTTTCCAAAAAAGTACCAAATAGAGCTTTCGAATTGATGATGACGATACAATTCTATGATTTCGTTTAGATATATTCGGCTTTATCGTGGATTCCGTGTGAACATATATTCCCAAAAACTATAAAGCAAGAAACAGTGATAATTTTCCAAAATTTTTCCCCTGTTCAATTATGGGAACTATTTATTAACATGGAATTGGCGATAAGGTTGATCATTTTCAATACAGGGTGTTTTTTCATTAGAGTAAGAATTTAAAAATTTATGGAAGAATGTAAATACCGGAGACCGTCCCGAGCAGGCATTTTATATCCAAAAACAGAAAAATTAACCAACTGAATGGCTTTTATTATTTTATTATGTTTACTTTTTTATGCAAAAATTATTCCTGCTAGTTGTCTGATATTATTTAAGTAGAAAATACCCCAAAACTCTTGTGTTTTAGGTTTTAGGCAATCATATAAAGCAAAGTTAGTATTTAAATGTACTTTCCAATCTGAAAAACCACAAATGATCCCAAAAAATCCGGAGTAAAACGCGGTAAATCACAAAAGGTCCCGAAAAATCAGAAAAAGTCCCCAAAAAATCTCGCAATGTTTCGAGAAAAATCCTTAAATAGTTGCGAAAACCTGCAAAATATGAAATATAACCAAACTTTTAAGCAAATACATACAGTGGTCAAAATAATTATTTCTACAGTGATTTATTTTATAATATTCGCAATGTTTTTCATTTTTTTTTTTTGCTAATTTTTCAGGAAAATATAGTTCATATTCTAACAAAAGCCATATAAATTAAATTTTCAAACTTTTTACAAAACTTAAAAAAATTCAAACAATTTTTTTCTCTAGGGTGTTGTAACTTTTGACACACATAATGCTTGAACAAATATAGAAAACGCTCTACAACATTGAGAAAAAAAATCTCAAAAATCATCGCTAATTTTCAGCATCTTGAAACGTGCATTTTATTAAACTGCATACTAAAAATTCTGAATTTTGAATTTTCATGAAAATTTTTTTAATTTTCGAAATTTTTGTAAAAAGTTTAAAAATTTTATATACATACATATATGCTTTTTGTTAGAATATGAACTATGTTTTCGTGAAGAATTAACTAAAAAAAAAAATACGAAAAGCATTGCGAATATTGTAAAATAAATCACTGTACGAATAATTATTTTGAGCGCTGCACATAAACAGTTGGTCCACAAAAACCTATTGTTTAAAATAAAATGCGAATTTGGCGTACCGGGTCGAAAAATCCGGCAAAAAAGACAAAAAACTCCAAAATGTTCAGAAAAACCGCATGAGGTCGCGAGAAATAAAACACAAAATCTCCTGAAGCGTTTTAACAAAACCCTAAACCGTTCCGAAATACTCCCTAGAAAAAAGAACGTTGCATTTCAACACTGAACAAACTGATTTATGTGCTCATTAGGAACAATATTCCTAAAAGATACATCGAAGGCAGGTCGAACGACACCGTCCTTCACACGATCTTGAAGTCGATAGAGGAAAGCTTTTTTGCATAAAAGCTTTATACAATCTCTAAATCGATGGTGCTTTTAATATTGACCTTCCGGGTGTAATCGTCAAATACTTAGTTAAGCCGCACCAAAAAAAGCTTATATACCGCTAACTCTGCGACAGAACTGCCGCGGCAAGGTAGTGCTAAGATCCCGTGTAGGACTAACATCGATGTGTCACATGGTGCTGTCCTCTCACAACTTCTTTGTATTGCGGCTATAAACGACCGAACTTGTTCTTGTCTTGTCTTGTTCATTAGAAGTACGGATATCCCACGCCACTCTTGCCTCAAAACGAGGCGTTTACTTGGCGCTTTCCGACAGATTCTTACGCTTGGTTTTCGAAAGAAAGAAGAAAAAGTAAAGAAAGCATATGTGGCTCTAAACTGCTGCATGTGATCAATTGGAAAAAGATAGGGCTTCTGTCCTGGCTCTATGAAATCATAGTTGAACATATAATGGATCCCTCATATGGTGACGTATAAAATGAAAGATCGCCCTGTTAATAAAGCTCTCATTGAAATCAGTTAGGCTCCTGGAACCATCTCTACCTCACTGACTCAAGACCTGGACACTCACAAGCCCTCTCTGGTGCCAGCTCACAGTGATATGTTAGAAAACTGCGCGGAGTATGAGCACTCTCTAGTCGGTCTCACCAAGAAAAGAGAGGGTGAGAGTATTATTGTCTACATATGCAATTCGTGCCAGCTCAATGAACGCTCAGCGAAAAACAGGATAAGGTCTTTCTAGCCGAGGGTGGACCAAAGCCGCAATTCTTGATTATGGTGGGTGTATTGATTGGGCACTGCCGGATTGTTATTCATGCAATCAGAATATATAAATATCACTCCGGATGCTCATTTTCCCAGCTGTTTAGAGGACAGAAACCGAGTTCAAATCATCTGAATACTTCATTATCTCAATACTTCTACCCGGTTCTTACAAAAAAACTTCGGTTTAAACACGTTGAATCACACTTTTTAAACAGCCCGTAAAAGCATTGCGGGACCTACACTTCTGCCTGTGAAACTTCGTTTTTAGCACGCTGTAAATACGGACTCACCGTTGGTGTCCGGACAACTTTTGTTTTTCTCTCAAAACACTTTTACCTTAACTTAAGAGTTATAGTCCAATACTAAGATCGGTTTTTGGGGCTTTCACTGTATATTACCTAAGCTAATAGAAGCCGTTCGACAATGCCACTTCTACCTTTTGATTCCACAATATAAATATATCTTTTATTTAAAATCTCCAGTTTTCTTCCCCACAAAAATCTCGTACATATATCCTTTTCACTCTGAAAAAACACCCTTAACTGTAGTATAGTGCTTATCGTAACTATACGACACTATTTACTTTCATATTACTTAATTTGAATTTTTTTTTTTTAAGTACAGTTCATTGTATATATCCACGAAAGTTTCCCCTTTATCATTTGATTGACGCTGTAACCGCGTAAACTATTTTGGCCGAGTCCAACAAAACACGCCAGTCGTATCACTCTTTTTATAATGAATTTTTCAACAAACGTTTGGTTATGCAGTTTCATAGCCCACTCAATTGTCTCTCGGTTTCTTTCATACAAAGTATGTTTAAAAAAAGAAAATTGCCAAAAATCAAATGTAATTTGTAGCCTCTTCAACCTTCATTTTATTATACTAAAATTGAAAAAGCTATGAAACTTTGTAGACTTATTTTGAATTTTTGTTAAAGAATGAACTACAGTGACGAACAAAAGTATTGGAACAAAGAATATTTCGCAAGTTATTATTACGTTGTTATTATTTTCTTCGATACAAAAAAAAAAACAAAAAAAAAATGTATGTCGAATATGCTCTGTGTGGAAGAAACTACGTGAAAATATTTGCTAAACATCGATGCGATTTTTAGCAACTTAAAACTTGCTTTTTGTTATACTAAAATTGCACGGGCTATGCATACTTAGAACTTTTATAAAAAAATCTGAGTTGCAAATTAGTATGCAAATAAGTTTTACACAAAGTTTAGAGATTTAATTTTTATGTTTTTTTTTTTTTGTTGTAGTATGAACTATAGTTTTATAAAAAATAGTGAAAAGAAAGTAGATTAAAAAACGATGGATACATTGGGCCAATACCTTTGTTCGTCGCTGTACATTTTTATAAAACAAAAATTTATTAAACAATAAAAATTTTGTGGGTATGGTATAGTAAAGATAGGCACTATATATTAAATATAATAAATTAGTTACACAGGTACTCATATAAATTTGATGTAATTAAATTTCTGGTTTGTACATTTTTTTTTACTTATTTATTTTTTATTTTCTTTTCCGTTATTCTCTCACCCATCTAAACACCAAACTCCGGCTTTGCTTGTTATTGTAAAATGTGTACATTTTTCTTGTCGCCCTCTCTCTCTCTCTCCCTCTCTCTCTCTTTGTCTATCATTCGATATGCCTTTTAGGAAAATCAGTATTGCATGCGAAATCCGGCAGAAATGTACTTTTGAAACTTCATACCGAATACACTTCGATAACGGATGAATTGGAGAGTGTATGCCATTTGATTGCATCGCCGACGGTTTCGTTGCCCAGCAATAAAGGTTAGTATTTTATTGTTGTATATGTTTGTATACTTGTATGAGTATTTTATAAGCTAATCAAGTACATACATATGTATGTTTGTACATAGTGTATTGTTGGAGCATACTTGTATGGTGAGTTAATTACATGACAAGTAATTAAAAATAATAATCTAATCCATATGCACACATTAACATTTAACATTGTCATCGATTTTAAAACTATCTGGGGTGGTTAATGTGATTTTTAACAATAATTTAATTAACTGAAAGCACAACATTGTAGGCGTTTTTGTGTTATTGTACCAAATTTAATTGGATTCGATTTAATAAATGCGTAATAATAAATAACAGTTAGTATCGTTACGCTGACACTCTTATAATCAAACGTGTACTACATAACGACGCAGTCAATACTGATTTTTGTAGGGAATTACTATTGAGGTGATATGTACATATGTATTTCAGAGTGGCGCTCTCAAGATACTATTTGTATATGTAATCAACGATGGCAAATAGAATAAAAGGCCTTGATTCAGATCTCTTGTTTTATTACTCCACTGTATGGCTAAAGGTGGTGCGCTTCCACTCGCTAGACTCAAGCTTCGAACACTATGCTGCTTAAAACAATGAAATCCTTACTTAGTCAATAGTGATTGAACAGAGTGTCGGAGGGAAGAGGTATGTAGAAACCAGAGGCACATAAATTGTGTGCGAAGACGTTGAGATACTGGCAGATAGCAATGCATACCGAATATTATGACAGAAGAGACACTTTCATTCACTTGAACAGCCATCGGAGGAGTTATTTATTTCGAAAAAATTGTGAAAATGAAGGGCATACTTTGATTACCTTAGTATTTTTGTGTTTTCTATTTATCAAACAACATGAACAATGTTATTTTTTTAATCACTCAAATAGGCACGGTGACTTTAACACTGGGAATGCACTAGATAATACCAACAAACTATTTAACACTTTAACTATTGGATACTGCATCTCTAATGCCAATGTATGGAAAATAGCCTGGTCCGTATGGTTGTTGTACGCATTTTAGATAATTCAAGAATATCTCACTTATTACTACTTTAATTAATTAATCCCCAAATCGACAAATGCATTTAAATATATATACAGCTACTTCCAAAATTGAGCGTGCGGCTTTTTTTTTGTTAATATTCGCAATGTGTTACATGCTAATAATTTTCACTTATTTTTGTATTAAAGTATGGCTTTTTCAGAAATTTTTTTTTATACGAAAAAAATTCCTACGCAGCCAGCAAAAAAATTCAAGGTGAATTTTTAGACATCTGAAACTTGCACATTATTATACTAAAATTTAATGGGCTATAAAACTGCATACCTGAATTCTTTTTAGAAATTCGTATTAAAAAGTTCGCGATTTTGCTGAAGCTTTGCAAAATTTTTCTTAATTTTTGTACACAGTATCATTCTTGGATTTAAATGGGTTTTGCTAAAACATATGCCATATTTTAAAATTTATTCAAAATTTGCAGAAATCAGTATTAAATCTTTAGGAGTCATTAAAGTGAAAGTTTTCGCCGGCGTAAACCCACCATTTTCCTTTCAAGATATGCAAGTCGTGTTTCAAGATATGCAAGTCGAGTCATGATTATTTATGTTATGCATTAAAATTGATTCCCCATTTTGATATTTTCTAAACTCAATTGTAA